GGAGGAGGTTGTCCTTCTCGATGAGCCCCATCACCTCTTTCTGCTTCTTCTCTTCCCGGAGGTTGGAGAACTGCAAGGCAGAGGGGGTGGCTCAGGGGGCTCCGGGAGGAGATGGCGGATGGAACCCCACTTCTGGCTTCTCCCTCCCTGAGCCTCAGGAAGGTGAGAGCAGGGGTGTTTCTGATGAGGAAGGGGAGGAGGAGGAGGAGGAGAGCACTACAACACGAGGGTGTTGGAAAGCGAACCCCAAAACACGGAACCCTAAGACCACGGCAGGGAGAGCGGAGCACAAGCCCATCCGCCCTTCCAAGCCCCTAAAAGTCTCAGGAAGTGGGGGTTCAAGTTCCTTTGGAGCTTGGAGGGAGGAAGTTTCAGAAAGACCCCCAGCTGTGAGCTGCCAGGTGCCCGCCCCTTCCCCACCCGGAAAGAGCCCGGATGTGTGGGTCCGGAGGATCTGGCCTGGGAGATGCGAGGCTTGGTTAGGGGCAGAGACCCCAGACTCCAGATGGGGGTGGGGGTGCTGACGGTGGAGCCACACCCTCCTCCCCACTGGGCTCCCGCGAGGCCTTCCCGTCCCAGGCAAGAAGCCCCCAATTTCCCGTGTCCAGGGGCATCTGACCCACCCCAGGGAAGGCCCTTCCCAAACCGGCCCCGGAGCCAACGGAGCTGCTGATGGGAGAATGAGAGAGTCCATCCAGGCCCTTCCCTGATCCCCCGCACCCCCATCTTTTCTCAAAGGACTGCAGGGCCCTGGCGGGTGTGGCTCAGCGGATAGAGCGTCGGCCTGTGGACTGAAGGGCCCTGGGTTTGATTCCGGTCAAGGGCACATGCCTGGGGCTGGGGGGGCTTGATCCCAGTGCGGGGTGTGCGGGAGGCAGCCGATCCATGATTCTCTCTCATCATGGACGTTTCTCTCTCTCTCTCCCTCTCCCTTCCTCTCTGACATCAATAAAAATAATAATAGTGTGGTGATGGCTGCAAAACTCGATGGATATACTATAGCTCATTGATTGTACATTGTAAAATGTATCTCACTTGAGCTGTTAACCCAACGGAGCAGGGGAGGGACTGTCCTCCGCAGCCCTGACGCCCCCCGCCCCGTCTGTCCACAGGAGCAGTGCCCCGCGCCACCCTCCC